CATTTAAAGGCACAATATGTAATTTTCGCCGCTAGAGGGCGCCTATTCAAAATAAACAAAGAGACAAAGGCAAGGATGCTACACAGATGCCCCGAATCACAGAGCAGTAAGTAGAAACATGACTGTCGCTAGGTATGCAGTGCTTACTTGGGTCAATGACAAATAAAAAAATAAGAATGTGTTGCCTCTAGTTTCATACATTTATACAAAATGTTTATGCCATTTTCAATAATAATTTAATGAACAAAACAAATGGTTCGAAAAATATAAAAGTAACTGTACAAGTTTCTAAACATTCAATGTATTATATTTGTTATATTTTATAAGAACTTAATGACCTTGACTTAAAGTAATGAGGATCTAAAGCAGTGGTTCAGCCTTTTCATCTATTAATAATAATTTATTAATTTAAAGGCACAATATGTAATTTTCGCCGCTGGAGGGCGCGTATTCAAAATAAACAAAGAGACAAAGGCATAATTTGATGATGCTGTGACTGAGTGTGGAATCATGGGAGTTGTGGTCTTCATCCCCACAGCCGATGCAATCCGACGGGACTCGGGCAGAAATCATGTTCATGGATGAGCTAATGATTTATTAACGTAGTAGAATAAAGCAGGGTGAGGCTGAAAGCCGTCGAAGCGAAACGAGGCCGCTGAACGAGCTTGACGCACGGCTCGAAAGCAGTGGAGCTTTTATTATGCCACAGTTGACTGCTTCCGCTCCTTCCGGTCGTGTGTATGTGGGGTAAAGCAGCGCTGTTTTATCATACTAGATACATTTGAAAGTTCTGTTATAATGCTACTCTGTGCGGTCGTCACCGGTCTATTAAAACGCATAACATATTACAGCGTCTTTGGTGTTTCCATGTTTTCTACAAAACAAAACCGGAAATCGAGGGGTTATGACGTCATTGGCAGGCGACACAATGCCACTATGGACACGGTCCGTGTCACTAGTTAAAATTGCTGATTTCTCTGGATTTAAACATTCTTAGAAACATTTGGGATAATGTAAGTACACAAGTCAGCAAAATATAACACTGTTCTAGTGGTTTTTGGATATTTTAATAAAAAAATCTTACATATTGTGCCTTTAAATACTTTTAGGTAATCTTGTAGCCACCTTGGAAATTTTGCAGCCCCCCAAGGTGGCCCTGAGTCATCTTTGACCCATGTACCACATTACACATATTCAGTTAAATTAAATAAGCTTGGTTAAGTCCAACAATTAATTAGAGACTGAATGCTGCTCTGTTATTATTATTATTATTGTTTTAATTTTTTAATTTTATGTTTTTATAGGTTTGGACCACCCACTGGTTGTAAAGCAGGAAAATGCCTCTGACAGTAGCTGGAAGTGCAGTCCCAAGGGAAGCGCAAATCAGGAGAAGCCTTCAGCAACTCCAGAATCTAAACAAAATGTGTGTATGGTATTGTTTTACTGGTAATATCCAGTGGCCCTGAAGACAAAAAAATATTTTGACTTTTTTGAGTGTCAGAGAGCATCTGTGTGTGTGGGTTTTTTAATTAATTAATTAATTAATTTTTTTTTGCACATGCCATTTGATTTGATATCATCTAATGCAATAAAATTCATGCATTTTAAGCTTGGCTTAGGTGGCCAAATATAATAGCCAAATACTGGGCCATTGTAGTTTGCTGAGATGTTATGTTAAAAAATATGTTGGTATAATTTTTGAGTAGTTTCTAATTCACGTGTATTTTGTGTATGACAGACTGTTCAAGTGTGTGAACCTAAACCTGGAGGAGAAGTGAAAGAGGAAGCAACAGAGGCTAGAGACCCGCAAGCTCGTCTAGTGATACATCCTCAAATACACAAACAAAAAGATCCTCTGAGCAGTGTTAAAGAGACCAATGGACTCCGCAATCCAGATTCTGACCACAAACCAGGTGGCACATCTTGCACTGAAAGACCAGGGGATGAAGATGAGGTCAGACACAGAAACCTCCCAAAATGGTTTGACCCTAAAACAGACCCTTCAGCATGGTCTTCCTATTCACAGCCAGAACCAGTCAGGACCTCAGTATCTTCAGAGTCTCCGGGTTTGAGGCCGCAAGTGGGGAGCATAGACTCAGGGCCTGTTAAACAGGAAGTTGTAGTGATGCTTCCACCAGACTGGGAAGATATGGAAAGGATCAGGCCTCAGGTGGTTTCTGCTCATAAGAGTGCTAAGAAAACACAGTCAGATCTTCAGCCTGGAGATCCTCTCACCCCTAGACCTCAAGTACAGGAGCGAGTCTCGTATCCTGCGCCTCCCATCAAGGTTCAGAGCCTTGCACCACAAACCATGCAGCATCTCAGATCACCCGTTAGGAAGAACACAAAAATTCTTCTACATCCCAATTCAGTTGTGACGGATCACGGCGCCGTTGATATAGACCGGGTACAGTCCATCTGCAAAGCCCTTCCTGCTACAAAACCTCCTCATGTCCGTCAGTATCCTGAAGGAGCCGCTACAGGTGAAAGAAATTTCAATACTGTACACCCAGGAAGAAGTCTGCCACAGATGGTCAGTATGAGGGTTCAAGGGGACACGCGGCACCATTCGGCAAAGACGATGCACAATTGCAGCCAGTGTGGAAAAGGCTTCTCTCATCTGTGTCACCTCAGAGCTCACCAACAGATTCACACAGGGGAGAGGCAGTTCTGCTGTACCATCTGTGGACGGAGTTTCACCAAACTGAGTAACTTGAAAGCACACCGCAGGGTTCACACTGGTGAGAGACCTTACATCTGCACAGACTGTGGGAAAAGGTTTACTCAGAAATGCAACTTGAAGAGACATCAGAGAATTCACTCTGAATTCACTCACTCTAATGTATGACGAGACGTGGAGGTGTGATAATGGTAGAATCTGTTACTTCACACATTGCACATTACTGGTTTTACTATCCTTGTGGGGACATTTGGTCGCCATAATGTAGGGATTACCAGGTACAGACACACACACAAACATATATATTCTTTATGCAAAATTATTATTATTATTTTTTTAATTTCCCTTTTAATTTTGGGGTGAAACACGACCCGGGCAGTTTCACCCATACTTTGGAAATTGTCCCTGCTTGTTCATGGTGGTTTGGTGGTTCCTCTATTTAAAGTGTTAAAATCTCACTTCTAATAGGAGTTTTACAAGCCTTTATGAATACAACACAACTACTCAAGTATATACTATTAAATTAGATCCCTTTTGATTTGTTTGTGTATTCAGATGCGTAGCATTAGCTCTTTGAAATGGTGCATATATAATGGTGCATTGCTCTTTTTTTTCTTTTCCTTTACAGTGAAACTGCTTGAAGAACACATTTATGTTGTACACATTTATTATAATAGTTACATGTTCATATTTAGATGTCAATGGTTGTAGGTTCAAACCTATGCGGGGGGCCCACGAAAGCACCTGCTAAACTTCAGATAACTATTTTGAAATGTAATGGCATTAAATGGCATGTTTCCAGTGTTCTTTAGAACGTAACGAATGAGTGACAGTATAGCAGGTACACCACATTCAAGCTACTTTCTCATCTGTTTTTAGTTTAATATCTTTTGTTGATTTAATGCCACACACTGAGCAAACTTTTCCAGTAATGCATGCAAACTGATTATTGGTGATTTAGGTACACCACAGTAAGCCATGTACATTACAGGCTCTATGACTGTAATTAAAATTATTTTTTCTTTTTTTTTCTGTGAAAATGAAAAATCTAAATGATGAAATTGCATTTTAAATGGACCAAATGGCAGGAAGTTCATGTCTCCATTTCTGTCATATACAGTATGTGTTGTGTTCATGTCAGCAAAATTAAATACTTCTCCATCTGTTTGGTATGTACATGGGTCATGAGTTGTTCTCATGTTGTCATTTTTGAGAACTGGCACATTCTCCTTTCCTACTGCACTTAATAAAATAATACTAAGTGGTTACAGCACATGATGCACCACTTTTTTAGTGTTATCCAGTTTTTTTTGTGACACTTGCTATCTGGACACACAAACAATCTCACATGATTTAGAAAAGGCTAAATGGTAAAATGCAAAACCGAATAAAGTAGGTCTTAAAATACTTTTATAAGCAATTAGGGAATACACAGCGGGCTACAGTGTGGACATGTGATTCTTTTTCTATTTCTCCCACCAGGTGGCATCATTCTGTCTTCCATGAATTGGATAAAAAATTTTTTTAATTTGCTATATTTTTAACTTAAACACTGTATCCAATGATTGATAATTAACTGTTACAATGTAAAATATTTTTTTCTAATATTTGTAACATTTTATATAATTAAATTGTGCTTGACTTAGAGGTCAGTCTTGTCTAGTACCATGCAATCCCTTCACAATAGAAAATATTAAAGAATAAATATAATTAAAACAAAATCTGTTAATTTCGTTAAAAAAAGTTGCACTCATTGCCGAGGATCCAAGTGTGATCCCTAAATGAAGAAGGGTTCACAAGGAGTTTATTATATGTCATTTAGTGTGCCTTGTAAATCAGTAAACTGTATTGTAATATTATGGCATACGTTTGTTCTGTATATGATTTCGATCTGCAATAACACTTTGAAGAAGCTTCAGTGAGTATGATGTGCAACCAGAATTCATCACTGAAGTGTTCAAATCAAGACAACAACTCAAGGTTCATATGGCTTCAGTGGCTGATGTGCTTTGCAAACTAGTAAACTAAACTGTAAGTGAATCTGCTGATTCAGTAGCCGCTTTGATGGATTCCGTGAATCATTCAATGAAGGATTCGTCAGACATTTTTGTCACTTTTCAATTCTGCTCATTAAAATATTTTTTTTAGTATCAGTAAGATACTAAAGTCACCACACGTAGAATTGAAATGGATTGGAACAAAGGTCTATTTCCATCCATTACAGTCAAGTTGTTGCCATTTTTATACAGCACAGATCAGATAAACCAAACATCGTCCAGGCAGGACTATCATCCAGTCCACTGGAGGGCAGTAACAGAAAACCATCAACATTTGCTGCTTCCGCTTAAGATGACACTGTCAACATAAACGATCGTTTTTCTGCACAAACACTGTTGCTTTTCACGTTATTCCGCGGGTGCCTGCAGAGAAATTCGCTACGCGAGAGGATCGTTTTCATAAGGTGCTTACTTTCTGAATTGTGTGGCTTTTGTTATTTGTCACTGTTCATTTGATTTACCTTTTACATAAAAGGCCCGAAGAGAGAGGGTCACTTATTTTCTATTGAAACCCAAGTGAAAATATTCATTATGCGTAGACGTATTTCTAATAACACAGAATTTGCAGCGTTGCCGTAATAATCAGATTGTATGTTGTATCATGCACGTGGCTGCACAAACAACAATAACAAAACGCCCACCTGCTGACAGTCTTGAAGATAAATTCAGATTTGGGACATCTTGACACGGGGTTTAGTTGGTCGTCGTGATGCCAGTAATAATGTCGTTTTCTGACTTTGTCTTTATGTCTTTTTAGGGTGAGTATTTTCACCGGAGTCATTCACTGCATCAAGGTGTCCTCACGGCAACAGGACGATGTCGGAAGCCCTTTTCCTCACATTCCAGTCTCAGCTCTCCGTTGTCATGGAGACCGTCCTCAAATCAGCCATGTTTGAGATAACCAGGCTGGTGGAAGACAGCTTCCTTGAGGAAGTGGGTCATCGTAAACAGGAGGTGGAGGTCTTAAAACGAAGGTTGCAGTTGTCTGAGAGTAAACTGAGGGAGAGGGAGAGGGAATGGGAACGGGGGAGGAAGACACAATGCCCAGACTGTGGCCGAACAGGAGATTCCAGCAGCAGAGATGAGAGCCAACCTGTAGAGACAGTCCGGGGTGAGATACAACTACTGTTGTTATTGCTGACTTAAACCATTAAAATCCAACCATCAGTCCTTTTGCGTTACAGCTTATCCTTTTGTAGGGAGGGCTGGAGCCTATGCCAGGATCTCAGGCCCGAAGGCAAGCTATTCAAAAACATATGAATTACTTGGAAAAAAATTAATTAGATGTAAAAATTCAACTTATAACTTGCATGAAAAACAGAAATGTTGCCTTGGCAACTGACTGAAAAAAACAAGTTCAAATACTAAAATTATTCACACTGAAATAAATATAGATTTAAGCAAAACTAAAGTATTTAAAAAACAAAACCCAATGAAAAATATTTTTTATTAAACTTTTACCATTGTTATATTATATATTTATTTTATTTTTTTAATAAAAACTATTTATTTTAAAATGTAAATTATTTACTATTAAAATTGAGCTATTATTATTCATTTATATATAGAATAATACATCTTTATACACTATTATTAACTCACACAAACGTACATATGTGTATAGTTATTAAACATTTATTACAACTGTAATACTATATTCTATCTATATGTCCTTTTATAACAATTTATTGTTATTATTTCTAATATTGATAATTCTATTAATATTAATATTTCTATTATCATTATTATTATATTCCTGCGCTTGGGAGTTGACTTGTTCTCCAGAAAAGCATGGCATTTAAAATGCCTGAAGAACTTCAAAAAGTTAATTTGCAATTTAATAAATATTTGCAGATTACAGCAGTGTGCAGTGCTTTTCCATTATATCACTGACATTATCACATGACATTTTAAGAGAGGTTTATATTCCTACATTATAAAATACTTTATTTACCTGCAGTTTTGTCAGTACAGTATTCTTTAAATTATTGTAGTCCTCCATTTATGCGTTGCAGTGCATCTGTGATCCTACTGTTAAGAACATCAGTTATATCATATATATGTTTTAGTATATATGTTCAAACACTTTTTGTGCTGTTCCTTAATTTTGTATCCTTTCTTCTGGTGCAGGAGCAGACAGCCTTTGTTTAGGCCTAAGCCTGAGAGATCAATCTACCAATCAACCTACACTAACTGAAGATGCGTGGAGTGCCAGACAACACCTGGAGTCTAACAAACAAACAACAGCACACTCACACTCTAAAGAGAGGAATGATGTACACCCACAGAATTCAAAAGAGATTGTCACACCTAACTCCAATGCACAAATTCATCAGGATTTTCTGCAGAGGCTTCTGTGCAATTCAGCCGTTCACAGTGAGTCCACTAGTGACTTCAAACCCAGAGTGAGTGATTTAGACAAATCCGAAAAAAACGTTACTCTTGATAAGGAAATGGACTCAAACCACTCAAAACTGTTACAAAGTCCTTTGGCTCAGGATGTGTACGAGGATTTGCCATCGTCTTCGCCAAACGGTAGAGTAAAAACAGAAACAGAGCTGGATCTTCTACCTGTCAAGGAGGAGGAAGAGATGGTTCCGGTGTGGGACAGCGTCAACAGAGATGACGGTTGCCATGCAGAAATGGCTGATCCGAGTCAGGGAGAGCTCAGAGTACCTTGTGATCAGGAGGAGATACAGGTAGAAAGCTTTCCAGGTCTAAACTCTCTCGACATGCCAGATGCCACCTCATATTTCACACCTTATTCAGTCAGCACACTGGTACATCAAGGTATTAGGGCACAACATAGTCATTTATGCACAACAGAGCTGATGCTTTCTAGCATACCAGAGAGGTCACATTCATTTGTCCAACCAGAAAATGGACACAGATATCCTGGTTCAAAGAGTTCTGTCCTCTATTCTCACAATGATGTTTGTCCAGGCGAGAAAGCAATGCGCCATGAGCAATACCCAAAGTGTTTCTCCCAGGACAAACATGGGACGCCTGAACAAATCCATGCAGAAAGATCCCACCATTGCACCCAATGTGGGAAAACGTTTGCAAGAGCATGTGACCTTAAGGCTCATTCGCTGATCCACAAGGGCAAGAAACCTCTGAGCTGTCCGCAGTGCGATCAGACATTCGCGTACAACTTCGAGCTCAAGGCTCACCAGCGAAATCACTCAGGGGAGCGACCTCACATCTGTCCGCACTGCGGCAAGGCCTTCGCTCGAATGAGCAACTTCAGGCAGCATCAGAACATCCACACTCGGGAGAAACTCTTCAGCTGCACTCAATGCGGGATGCGATTCAATCGAGCCACCAACCTGCGAGTTCATCTCAGACGACACAGCCACGCGGGGAAGACCTACAATTGCCCTTTTTGTGGAAAGAGCTTTCTGAATCCCAGGCAAATGAAGGCTCATTTACAGAAAGCCCATGGAAGAGGCGGGAAATAAACATATCTACTTTATGTTTGGAAATTCAGTTTGAACTGATTCTGAATTGGATCAATTCATGTTTACATATTATAAATGGTCTGCACTGTTAAAACTCAAGAAGATAGCAGAGGACCCAATGTCCCATAATTTCCACCTTAGAGACAACTAAACAAGATCTGGACAAATTGTTATGCATGGAATCTTTGCATTACGGAAAGATGAGGAAACTTAGTTTTCCTTTTAGGTTTAATACATCTGCATATAGTAATTGGAAAGACTGATTTACACCAACAGGAAATATTTTGCGGTTGTATTATCAATGTATAATAGCTGGTATATATTATATATTTAATGTTTTTATGTATTCCCTCCAACAACAGTAAAGGCACAGTTCCCAGGCAAATGAAGGCTCATTTACAGAAAGCCCATGGAAGAGGCGGGAAATAAACATATCTACTTTATGTTTGGAAATTCAGTTTGAACTGATTCTGAATTGGATCAATTCATGTTTACATATTATAAATGGTCTGCACTGTTAAAACTCAAGAAGATAGCAGAGGACCCAATGTCCCATAATTTCCACCTTAGAGACAACTAAACAAGATCTGGACAAATTGTTATGCATGGAATCTTTGCATTACGGAAAGATGAGGAAACTTAGTTTTCCTTTTAGGTTTAATACATCTGCATATAGTAATTAGAAAGACTGATTTACACCAACAGGAAATATTTTGCGGTTGTATTATCAATGTATAATAGCTGGTATATATTATATATTTAATGTTTTTATGTATTCCCTCCAACAACAGTAAAGGCACAGTAGTATGTGGCACATCCTCGGCTCTTACCTGAGAATGTTTGCCTTTTTAGAATTCATATTTTCACTAAAAAGGTACACTGGCCTTCACTTAAATTGTGATGTGTCCCTGTTGTTTCAACCTTCATGGCATTTTGTTGGAAAAAGTAAATGAACCATCAGATGTAGCACCTCTCTTTCTTGTTCCTGACAATCAGTCCCACCTCAGCAAGTCAGTAAAGGTGGTCCAAAATTCTCCAGTTCCATTTCAGTCTTCCATTCAGACGTCAAGTCTCCTTTTCATTTTTTTTTTTTTTTTGGATTGATGAACACTTGTTGGACGATACAAGACCTCCTGCTCAGCCATTTCCGTGATCTCTCAAGATTTCTGTGATCTCCAGCAGCATTGTGTCTTGATGCCTGCCTCTCCTGGAGTGATTGTAGTCGGACAACTATATTCCACTACATACAGGTCATTATCTGATGGATTTGTATACTTTTTTCCAACAAAAGCAGTAAATGCTAGCATGACTTTAAATTGGGAATATTTAATTTGATATTTGTTATTTGAGTCTTTTTATAGTTCCTTATGACTAATGAAAGACTGCAGATATAGACATATGAAATATAATCTTAAATGAACATTGTCTTTGTTATTGTACTTAAAGATGACTTATGATAATAAACAAACACACTACATGCACATTATAGTACACATAACCTGTGAATTAATTGTATTTCAATACAAAGCAGTCAGTCTCTCAATCACAAAATAAGTTTTTGAGCAGAATTTTACAGAAGCATAGAAATGTTTCTAAATGCACCTAAATTGATATGAAATTAACAATGAGAATTGTGGTTTATTAATTTGTCGTTGTGTATGTTGTAGATTGGCCGAAGGTTTGCAGAACCCGTTTCCACGGAACAAGGAAATTTACACCCCATGAACAAGCAGAGAACATTCAGTGTAAGCAGTTATACAAAATTAATTGTTTATCATTTTTAGGCTTTTGAACGATCAAGTAAACAGTATTACTGTTTCTTGTGTCTTCACCAGGTGGTGGCCAGAGAGATCCTGACTCAGTTTCAGGTGTGGCAGAAGGCCTGCTATAGCAGAAACATTGAGTGGGGCCCGATTACAGCGAAGGTTCAGTCCTCTTCATTTGTTCCGTCTGATGAAATTATCCATTTTGATGACCTGAAATGAAGATAAAGACACATTTTCAGAGTGTATTGTGCTTTACTGTTTCACAGATCATTTCTGCATTGCCGCAGTTGTATGGACGTGAGGCAGAGGTGATCATACGATGTACTAAGATGCTACACAACCGCAGGGATTACCTTCGAAGGAGAGCAAAGGTTAGCTTTCATAGGCTCAAAGATTTAATCTCTTCATTGCTTGTATGGTGATGAATCATATATGTGAATTTATCTGACGACACAGATGTGTGAATGAAGGTATTTCTCTTGGGCTACATGATTTGAAACATGCATGTTATATTGCTTAGATATTACGGAAGAAAGCAAACAGAATTTTCATTAAAAAAAAGACAATTTACTTTTCAGATTTACATCATATGTTTAACATAACACAATTAGAATAATAGATCATTTTAAACAAATGTTTTAGAGTAAGTGTTCTGAAAATCTGTCCTGCTAGCACAGGATGATCCAATATTTAAGCTGATTATGTTTATGCTTGTCTGCATTGACAGCACAAAATGTAATTACTAAAATAAGACTTTGACTAATGACTATTTTGGTAATAAGTCAAGCAGAGAAATAATCAACATATTATTTGATTGAACAGATCGAAATAAAAATGTTCTTTATAAATGTAGGTTATGAAATACATTATGCACAAAAATGTTTTATAATATAACGTCACGTTATAAAACAAAAAACAACTTTCAACTTTAAAAAAATCAAGTTTCAATTAAATATGGTCAGCATTATTGCATTGCCTATCTGATAGAAGAGGGTTTTGCTGCAGACTGCAGCACAATAACGTAGTTCATCTAATCCACTACATAGTGAAGCTGGCTGACATAAGGGATGCTTTTAATGCGAATGCATCATAGAGGAATTTGGTGACGCACTGAATGTCTTTAATGCACATGCGTAATAATGAGGATTATTTGTCATCATACTTCATGACAAGGATGGACTCAACACCAACAAGTGAGACAGTAAGTGAATGAGCACAATTTACGTTGTTGTTATATTTGTCACGTATTTTGATGACATTGCATTTTACATTAGCCCATTTGGAATTGACTTATTGTTTTCTTAACATCATGCTGGGTCCTTGTGACCCCTAAATTGCACATGTAAGAATAATTATAATATATTTTAAAAGGTTGTCAAGGCAAAATACTATACTGAAAATACTATAATGAAAATATATCAAGCTCATCAAGCTGAAATCTTGATTATAACAAATTGTTAGGGAATTTTAACATCCAAAATGTCGATGTTAAATGAGGTTAATCATTATTTAATTGTAAATATCCTTTTCTAGACGCATATTACTGTCCTTAAAAATGGAGAAAGCCCCTGTATCTCTAAGTGCACTCAGTGTTGTGACAAGTATCACTGCCCATTTTGTGAGACCTGGGTCTACAAGCCAAGAGAGTTATGGAGCGTTGTTAACCACGTCCAGAATCATCTGAAGTTGGCTGTCCAGCAGGATGGTGTGTATAGTGCTTCCAAATTCATTAAAATGTTATTTTGTCAAGGCATATTAATTCACTCTTGATTTACTTTTTTCAGATTTCGCTATTGTCAAGTGTAACTTAAAGTGCAGAGAATATGCCCATTTTCACTGCTGCTACTGTTCTGCCACTGTTCTACGAAGAGGCCAGTTAAAATGTCATCTCAAAAAATGCAAGCAGAAGTTCAGTGCAGAAGAGGAATTTGAAGGAGCATGCTCATTTGAGGAAAGTCCTGAACATGAGTAGTTTATTTATTTCTGATACTGTTGATTCACTAGTTCATATATTTATGTCCCTGTTAGCTACAGGTAACACTCACAATTGTAGTATTTGGTGGATTATGAAACTATGTTGTGGAAATAAACATTTACTAACAATGTATCTGCTTCTTCTTTCGGAACTGTGAAGTGCTGTGTAAGGACTAAAATATCTGTGTACATTCTCTAAAATAATTTTCCATTTCACCACTGAGACACCACATGATATTTATTGTTTAGCTTTTGAAAAGGTCTTAACCATGGACTTTCCCAGACCTGCAGTTTTTCCTCTCCATATGAGTAATACAAGTAAAACAGACACATGTAATGTGAGCAGTCTCCAGAAGTTCAAATATAAAACACTACATATTAAAAAATAAGCAATGAGCTTGTGAAAGTTCTAATAAACAGTCAGTACTCAAAACATTCATTGTCTGGTTTAATTTAAAATGATCTTGATATATATATATTTATATTAGTGCTGTCAATCGATTAAAAAAATGTACTAATCGCACATTTTTCTGAAATTAATCGCGATTAATCCCACCTATAAAGTTTTTAAATATACATTTACATTGCAATAATTTCACATTCAATCTTCAAATTAATGTACAAACAACATAAAGACAGTATATTTTGTAATATTTGTTTAATCACATCTTTTTTTTATGACTGCCAGTATCAATGATACCAATACTGATTTCTCTATAAAATTGCCCCCCCCCATATTTAACCATTGACTATAGCCATTCAGCATTACAGTATAACTGAGAGCTATCAATTTGAACATTTATTAGACTTTAAAAAAATAACTTCTAATTTAAGTGAACTTAAAACAATGTTCACATAAACCTATTATAATAAATGTAATATTTACCTATATGCTCTTCAACAGAAATATACAGAAATTGAAATTTAAGTTATCAAACACTAAATTCTAAATTAAATATAGATGAATCCTTAAAGCTATAAAAGTTATTTTTTCCTCTTTTTTTTCTTTGTCCTTTGATTAATAGACATCACAGCAGCTGGTTATTAGGTTGTTTTGGCTGCTATTTCTTTGACCCACTTCAGGTCTTAAAGTCTCTATTAATGAGCTGACGAGTTAAATCGGGTGTGTTAGGGTGTTTTCACACTTGAGTCCTCTTTAAAAGAACCGAACCCAGACCCTTTTAAGTGGACCAAGAGGTGGAACAAGTGAAAAAGGACCCAGTTTTCTTTGTGTCCACACTATCGCAGTTCCTGAAAGAGGACTCAGATCCTTTTTTGGTCCACTTAAGCAGTAATGGTGTCTCAGACCTCTTTGTGTTCAGACTGTTGCTTTTTGGATCTAGTCCAGTTCAGTGTTTGATGGCTGACATTATGGCCTCCAAAACTGGAATATTTTTATCTTTTGCACAAAAATATAAGTTTCGTACACCTTTGTAATATTTATTTTGAATTGTTTTCTTTGTCTATGTCATCGTGTTTATTTTATAGCACACAACGTTTCTGCAGGGTTTTTAAGCTCAAATGTAAAACGTTTTAAGACCTGCACAGATAAAATTAATACCATATGAGTGGGGTGGGGCAATGTTTTAAAATGACTGTAAAAAGTATGATTTACAGTTCAGATACAGGTTTTCACAAAAAAATATAAAAAAGAAATGAAATAAAAAGTCAAATTTCAGCCTTTCAAATTACAAACCATTTTTAAGAAAAGAGTCAAAAATCAAATGTATCAACTATTATATTAATGGTTTAATGGCTGGTTTAATATAAATTATTATTTTAAACCAGCAAAGGGCTGTTAAAAATGCAAATTCATTCTCTGCCAGCAGGTGGCGCTTTCAGAACGGCATAAAAATAAACTTTGAACACTCATTTATCCAATTAAATCATAGCCTTTTTCATTTTAATCATCACATTAAGCTATATGGCAATTGTCTTTCCGTCCCCAGTGTACTTTTTATGGCCTTAAATTTGATACAATTAAATGTAAGACTTTTTAAGGACCAGCGGAAAAGGCATGCTGACATTGAGATATATAAAATAAAAGAACAGATAAAATATAATAAACTGCTTTAAATTTTTCAGGTACAGTACAAGTATCCTTAAATGCAGCATTTAAGTAAGATACTAATCAAATGAAAAAAATTTAAATGCATAGGCCTATTATTAATCATATGAATAATAGATTCTACTGATTCTGATATTAGGCTGCTGTACTAGAAGTACTACATACTGCACAGATCTGTTACACATGCAATTTCTTTCCCAGATGTTTACATTCAATTGAGACAAAACCAATTGTGTTTATGTGAACCATGGGTGTTTTTGACAGTTGAAACAATAAACGGTGCAGAGAGTGTAGCCTAGTTTAGCCCCCGCTGGGATGTGCGAGCTCGTAGCCTATATCAAAAAGTTTAAACTGGCAAAGCGCACAGCCGCGTCTCTCTTACACAGTTTAGAAGCGGTTGAAATGAAAATAAACGAGTGTACGTTGTGAGCGAACAATTTGTAGAGATCTGCCAGAAGAAGCAGCCACTTTGAACAGCTGATTTGAACGGAAACATCTGATGGCCAAATACATTGGAATTCGCAAATGGAAAAATCAAGTGAGCCCGTGCCGATTTGTGTTCACAATGCACGTTTTTAGCGAACCGTACTCAGACCACCTCCCGAGATGGTCAGACCCCTGAAAAGGACCAAGTGTGAAAACACCCTTAACCTTTAATCGTCCCTTGATTTGAGCAACGTTAAAGTCCCTTGGGGTCAGATTGACCCCAAACTTTTACAGAGCGATTGCATAAGGAAATATAATTTTTTTATATGACAAACTATATATCATTCTTTTTATTTACTTCTCAGCTATACATTTATGCTGTGTTTTTGTGGATATTTGGTAGTTTTTTACCTATTTACTGCACAAATACTCAACTATGCCAGCAGCATTGTGTCTTGATGCCTGCCTCTCCTGGAGTGATTGTAGTCGGACAACTATATTCCACTACATACAGGTCATTATCTGATGGATTTGTATACTTTTTTCCAACAAAAGCAGTAAATGCTAGCATGACTTTAAATTGGGAATATTTAATTTGATATTTGTTATTTGAGTCTTTTTATAGTTCCTTATGACTAATGAAAGACTGCAGATATAGACATATGAAATATAATCTTAAATGAACATTGTCTTTGTTATTGTACTTAAAGATGACTTATGATAATAAACAAACACACTACATGCACATTATAGTACACATAACCTGTGAATTAATTGTATTTCAATACAAAGCAGTCAGTCTCTCAATCACAAAATAAGTTTTTGAGCAGAATTTTACAGAAGCATAGAAATGTTTCTAAATGCACCTAAATTGATATGAAATTAACAATGAGAATTGTGGTTTATTAATTTGTCGTTGTGTATGTTGTAGATTGGCCGAAGGTTTGCAGAACCCGTTTCCACGGAACAAGGAAATTTACACCCCATGAACAAGCAGAGAACATTCAGTGTAAGCAGTTATACAAAATTAATTGTTTATCATTTTTAGGCTTTTGAACGATCAAGTAAACAGTATTACTGTTTCTTGTGTCTTCACCAGGTGGTGGCCAGAGAGATCCTGACTCAGTTTCAGGTGTGGCAGAAGGCCTGCTATAGCAGAAACATTGAGTGGGGCCCGATTACAGCGAAGGTTCAGTCCTCTTCATTTGTTCCGTCTGATGAAATTATCCATTTTGATGACCTGAAATGAAGATAAAGACACATTTTCAGAGTGTATTGTGCTTTACTGTTTCACAGATCATTTCTGCATTGCCGCAGTTGTATGGACGTGAGGCAGAGGTGATCATACGATGTACTAAGATGCTACACAACCGCAGGGATTACCTTCGAAGGAGAGCAAAGGTTAGCTTTCATAGGCTCAAAGATTTAATCTCTTCATTGCTTGTATGGTGATGAATCATATATGTGAATTTATCTGACGACACAGATGTGTGAATGAAGGTATTTCTCTTGGGCTACATGATTTGAAACATGCATGTTATATTGCTTAGATATTACGGAAGAAAGCAAACAGAATTTTCATTAAAAAAAAGACAATTTACTTTTCAGATTTACATCATATGTTTAACATAACACAATTAGAATAATAGATCATTTTAAACAAATGTTTTAGAGTAAGTGTTCTGAAAATCTGTCCTGCTAGCACAGGATGATCCAATATTTAAGCTGATTATGTTTATGCTTGTCTGCATTGACAGCACAAAATGTAATTACTAAAATAAGACTTTGACTAATGACTATTTTGGTAATAAGTCAAGCAGAGAAATAATCAACATATTATTTGATTGAACAGATCGAAATAAAAATGTTCTTTATAAATGTAGGTTATGAAATACATTATGCACAAAAATGTTTTATAATATAACGTCACGTTATAAAACAAAAAACAACTTTCAACTTTAAAAAAATCAAGTTTCAATTAAATATGGTCAGCATTATTGCATTGCCTATCTGATAGAAGAGGGTTTTGCTGCAGACTGCAGCACAATAACGTAGTTCATCTAATCCACTACATAGTGAAGCTGGCTGACATAAGGGATGCTTTTAATGCGAATGCATCATAGAGGAATTTGGTGACGCACTGAATGTCTTTAATGCACATGCGTAATAATGAGGATTATTTGTCATCATACTTCATGACAAGGATGGACTCAACACCAACAAGTGAGACAGTAAGTGAATGAGCACAATTTACGTTGTTGTTATATTGGTCACGTATTTTGATGACATTGCATTTTACATTAGCCCATTTGGAATTGACTTATTGTTTTCTTAACATCATGCTGGGTCCTTGTGACCCCTAAATTGCACATGTAAGAATAATTATAATATATTTTAAAAGGTTGTCAAGGCAAAATACTATACTGAAAATACTATAATGAAAATATATCAAGCTCATCAAGCTGAAATCTTGATTACAACAAATTGTTAGGGAATTTTAACATCCAAACTGTCGATGTTAAATGAGGTTAATCATTATTTAATTGTAAATATCCTTTTCTAGACGCATATTACTGTCCTTAAAAATGGAGAAAGCCCCTGTATCTCTAAGTGCACTCAGTGTTGTGACAAGTATCACTGCCCATTTTGTGAGACCTGGGTCTACAAGCCAAGAGAGTTATGGAGCGTTGTTAACCACGTCCAGAATCATCTGAAGTTGGCTGTCCAGCAGGATGGTGTGTATAGTGCTTCCAAATTCATTAAAATGTTATTTTGTCAAGGCATATTAATTCACTCTTGATTTACTTTTTTCAGATTTCGCTATTGTCAAGTGTAACTTAAAGTGCAGAGAATATGCCCATTTTCACTGCTGCTACTGTTCTGCCACTGTTCTACGAAGAGGCCAGTTAAAATGTCATCTCAAAAAATGCAAGCAGAAGTTCAGTGCAGAAGAGGAATTTGAAGGAGCATGCTCATTTGAGGAAAGTCCTGAACATGAGTAGTTTATTTATTTCTGATACTGTTGATTCACTAGTTCATATATTTATGTCCCTGTTAGCTACAGGTAACACTCACAATTGTAGTATTTGGTGGATTATGAAACTATGTTGTGGAAATAAACATTTACTAACAATGTATCTGCTTCTTCTTTCGGAACTGTGAAGTGCTGTGTAAGGACTAAAATATCTGTGTACATTCTCTAAAATAATTTTCCATTTCACCACTGAGACACCACATGATATTTATTGTTTAGCTTTTGAAAAGGTCTTAACCATGGACTTTCCCAGACCTGCAGTTTTTCCTCTCCATATGAGTAATACAAGTAAAACAGACACATGTAATGTGAGCAGTCTCCAGAAGTTCAAATATAAAACACTACATATTAAAAAATAAGCAATGAGCTTGTGAAAGTTCTAATAAACAGTCAGTACTCAAAACATTCATTGTCTGGTTTAATTTAAAATGATCTTGATATATATATATTTATATTAGTGCTGTCAATCGATTAAAAAAATGTACTAATCGCACATTTTTCTGAAATTAATCGCGATTAATCCCACCTATAAAGTTTTTAAATATACATTTACATTGCAATAATTTCACATTCAATCTTCAAATTAATGTACAAACAACATAAAGACAGTATATTTTGTAATATTTGTTTAATCACATCTTTTTTTTATGACTGCCAGTATCAATGATACCAATACTGATTTCTCTATAAAATTGCCCCCCCCCCATATTTAACCATTGACTATAGCCATTCAGCATTACAGTATAACTGAGAGCTATCAATTTGAACATTTATTAGACTTTAAAAAAATAACTTCTAATTTAAGTGAACTTAAAACAATGTTCACATAAACCTATTATAATAAATGTAATATTTACCTATATGCTCTTCAACAGAAATATACAGAAATTGAAATTTAAGTTATCAAACACTAAATTCTAAATTAAATATAGATGAATCCTTAAAGCTATAAAAGTTATTTTTTCCTCTTTTTTTTCTTTGTCCTTTGATTAATAGACATCACAGCAGCTGGTTATTAGGTTGCTTTGGCTGCTATTTCTTTGACCCACTTCAGGTCTTAAAGTCTCTATTAATGAGCTGACGAGTTAAATCGGGTGTGTTAGGGTGTTTTCACACTTGAGTCCTCTTTAAAAGAACCGAACCCAGACCCTTTTAAGTGGACCAAGAGGTGGAACAAGTGAAAAAGGACCCAGTTTTCTTTGTGTCCACACTATCGCAGTTCCTGAAAGAGGACTCAGATCCTTTTTTGGTCCACTTAAGCAGTAATGGTGTCTCAGACCTCTTTGTGTTCAGACTGTTGCTTTTTGGATCTAGTCCAGTTCAGTGTTTGATGGCTGACATTATGGCCTCCAAAACTGGAATATTTTTATCTTTTGCACAAAAATATAAGTTTCGTACACCTTTGTAATATTTATTTTGAATTGTTTTCTTTGTCTATGTCATCGTGTTTATTTTATAGCACACAACGTTTCTGCAGGATTTTTAAGCTCAAATGTAAAACGTTTTAAGACTGTTTTTAAGACCTGCACAGATAAAATTAATACCATATGAGTGGGGTGGGGCAATGTTTTAAAATGACTGTAAAAAGTATGATTTACAGTTCAGATACAGGTTTTCACAAAAAAATATAAAAAAGAAATGAAATAAAAAGTCAAATTTCAGCCTTTCAAATTACAAACCATTTTTAAGAAAAGAGTCAAAAATCAAATGTATCAACTATTATATTAATGGTTTAATGGCTGGTTTAATATAAATTATTATTTTAAACCAGCAAAGGGCTGTTAAAAATGCAAATTCATTCTCTGCCAGCAGGTGGCGCTTTCAGAACGGCATAAAAATAAACTTTGAACACTCATTTATCCAATTAAATCATAGCCTTTTTCATTTTAATCATCACATTAAGCTATATGGCAATTGTCTTTCCGTCCCCAGTGTACTTTTTATGGCCTTAAATTTGATACAATTAAATGTAAGACTTTTTAAGGACCAGCGGAAAAGGCATGCTGACATTGAGATATATAAAATAAAAGAACAGATAAAATATAATAAACTGCTTTAAATTTTTCAGGTACAGTACAAGTATCCTTAAATGCAGCATTTAAGTAAGATACTAATCAAATGAAAAAAATTTAAATGCATAGGCCTATTATTAATCATATGAATAATAGATTCTACTGATTCTGATATTAGGCTGCTGTACTAGAAGTACTACATACTGCACAGATCTGTTACACATGCAATTTCTTTCCCAGATGTTTACATTCGATTGAGACAAAACCAATTGTGTTTATGTGAACCATGGGTGTTTTTGACAGTTGAAACAATAAACGGTGCAGAGAGTGTAGCCTAGTTTAGCCCCCGCTGGGATGTGCGAGCTCGTAGCCTATATCAAAAAGTTTAAACTGGCAAAGCGCACAGCCGCGTCTCTCTTACACAGTTTAGAAGCGGTTGAAATGAAAATAAACGAGTGTACGTTGTGAGCGAACAATTTGTAGAGATCTGCCAGAAGAAGCAGCCACTTTGAACAGCTGATTTGAACGGAAACATCTGATGGCCAAATACATTGGAATTCGCAAATGGAAAAATCAAGTGAGCCCGTGCCGATTTGTGTTCACAATGCACGTTTTTAGCGAACCGTACTCAGACCACCTCCCGAGATGGTCAGACCCCTGAAAAGGACCAAGTGTGAAAACACCCTTAACCTTTAATCGTCCCTTGATTTGAGCAACGTTAAAGTCCCTTGGGGTCAGATTGACCCCAAACTTTTACAGAGCGATTGCATAAGGAAATATAATTTTTTTATATGACAAACTATATATCATTCTTTTTATTTACTTCTCAGCTATACATTTATGCTGTGTTTTTGTGGATATTTGGTAGTTTTTTACCTATTTACTGCACAAATACTCAACTATGCCATAAATTGGCTTATAAAAAAGTATTTTTTTTATGAGAAAATCCCTTAAATTATGACTTAAATTAAATATAAATGGTTTCTGGGTATTGGCCCATGTGTTAGGGATAGAATACTGTCATCTGCAGGTTAGAGGAAAATCTTTAGGTATTATAGTTAAAGAAAGAAAGTGCAATGACCACATATATCCAGCAGAGGTCCATAGGGACTCATTCATTTTCAGTTCAGTTTCAAGTCCATTTTTCTTCATGTTTCAACTTCTCACAACTTTATGATATATATTTTGTGAATATATATTTAAACATTCTAAAATACATAAAAAATCTGTATTTTTGTATTTATTTTTGTTGTTGTCTGATATATTTTGAATTGTTTGCTTTTGCAAATTATAATACAAAGTCACCACTGAATGACATGACTGTAATCACATACTATTTATTTCAGAAAATTATTTATCACAAATAAACACTGCATAATCCTCCTCTTCAGATTCCTGGTAATCCTGTTCAAACTCAGTTTCATCTTCTGTGTCAGTAGTAAAGTCCTCAGGACTATCTGGTTCAGTGTTCTCTGGGCCTTCTTCACTGTCACTTTGATCCAGTATGAAATCCAGGGTCTCCTCAAGACTGTACCTTTTGGCCATGGTGCTGCCACAGAATGAGCTCAGTGCAGGACCCAGACAGCCACTTTTATACCCTAACTGTGAGATGTTTTCAAAATACTGCTGCAGCTCTTTCATCAAACAGTAAACTTTCTCAGAGTGCAAAAGGTCTTTCATCTTTCTTTTATCTGCCCTTTTCCCTCTCTTTCTGTTTGTGTGTGTGTGGTGTGTTATGTCTACCCCTTCACACTGTTGTGCATTTATGTCTGATTTTATTTGCCAAAATCTAAAAAATGCCCCAGACATCTGCATGTGTGTGTGTGTGTGTGTGTGTGTGAGAGAGTGAACATGCTTGTTCCATGTTGCCTTTGTGCTCTAGTATTAGTCCTTCATTTATATATGGAAATTTTTCAGATTTATGCCAGTTTTGTTGCTTTTATTTGCCAATTTCTATAAAAATACTCTCTGTTGCAGTCACACACATGTATGTGTTTGTGTGTGTGTATGAGATAGAAAGTTCGTTCCACATTGTGTTTATGGTCTAGGACCAGACCTTTATTTAAATGTAGAAATTTTCAGATTTTTACTGGATTTATTGATTTATTTTGACAAATGAAATGAAACAAAAAAATTTTTTTACATTTTCCCATTCATTTTCAATGTGGGGTCAATCTGACCCCAAGGACCTTTAACGGTGATTTTTTTTACACACCTTTAGAACAACCAAATCATGTCCCGATTTTTGTGTGTGTGTTTAGATAGATTATTTAGGAAAAGTCACAGAATTTCATGCCCATGGAATGAAGGGAACACTTTTAAAAAATAAAGGAAAATTCAAATGGGGTCAGCTGGACCCCAGGGACCGATTAAGGGTTAAATGAGTGAGACAGTAGTGCGTGCAATTGAAGAGCACGCGCTGCGAGCACAGTACCGTTTCCGCGCTGGTTTTGACTCGCGGCTGTCGCTGAAGTGAAGTGGAGAGCGCGCCTGAAACGTGTCCCCTTCACAGTCGTTCTGCGACTGAATAAATGCACTTCTTGACAAGAGAAAAAGTGACAGAAGCAGCAGTTGTGAGTGGGGTGGCCAACCCTAGCCCCGCCCCTGCGTTAATTGCATTACATATTTTTAACGTGTTAAACTGAAAAAAAATGAATCGCCTGCGTTAACGCGCTAATTTTGACACCACTAATATATATATATATATATATATACATATATATATAAAACTGCAAATATTGCTTGAAAATAGTATTTTCTACAAAAAAATTGTGTTTGCGCATGCATAAGTATATATAGGCCTAGGCTACTACATCACACTACAGTCTACAGTGAGAAGAGTTGTTCTGTTGAGGGGTGATACCAAAAAAAGATTAACCCTTGAAAGGTTTGGGGTCAGTAAAATTTGTATTTATGTTTGAAAGAAATGAATGCTTTTATTTAGATTCACATTAATTTGGATCAAAAGTGACAGTAAAGACGTTTATATAAATGTATCAGTTTCTACAAAAAAAATCAAGCAGCACAACTGTTTTCAAGATTTATAATAAGAAGAAATATTTTTTGAGCACCAAATCATATTAGAATGATTTCTGAAGGATCATGTGACACTGAAGACTGCAGTAATGATGCTGAAAACCCAGCTTTGCCATCATCACAGAAATAAATTACATTTATAAATACTTTCAGTAAAGAAAGTGCTCTGCCTCAACTTTCTTATTTCACTACTCGTAAATAGGCAAATGGTGCTTAATTATATTATCACCATGATGCCAAACATTGTTGGAAAGTCGGCAGGGCCATTAACTCAGTAAGGAGTTGCTGGGTCTTTTAACACCCACCTACAGTGAAACGCTGCTTGACTTGTGAATCTTTATTGCATATGTAAATGAAGCAGACGACTGAAAATCTGCTAGTGTGAAACTGGTTTCACCTGTTGGCCAGACAGACTCTTCAGTGGGCAGAATAAGCTCAACTTTGACCAGATTTTATTCTGATAGATATTGTTGTTTTGCTGTTATTATTATTATTAATTTGAGATCAACCCCACACATGACTGGGAATTCTAGACAAATTAAGAGTGATGCTCATTTAGTTTAAGTGTATTTTTAAATGTAATTTATACTCAGCTTTTTTGTGTTAAGGCCATATCTCAGTTTATTGTGAAGCCTCAAGATTTCCAGTTTCAAATGTTGAACTTTAAAATTAAAATGACGTGAAACATCTTTTTAAGATGTTCTTTTCTCCTGCAGGACACGGCTATGGAGAGAAATATTTTACCTATGGGCCAGCGATATCTTGTACAACTTCAAGGAGGTGATGTTCAGAATGTAAAGTTGTGAATAAAATATAGTTATGTGTGACATTGTCCTCTGTTGTTTTTTTGTGTGCAGTTTGATATGTTTTCTTTCTTTAAGGGATGATATAGTCAGGAAGGTTTTGAAACATTCATGGGAACTTTTGTGACATGAGATGGGATTGAGGAGAAACGTTAAAATAAAAGTAGCTAGATGGGGTGCATTCAAATTGTATTCATCCTAAATATCAGTTTAATATTTAAGGTCTGGTTTGAAGATCATTCCATGTAAACTACGAGGTTCTTGATAAGTATGAGGAGCATGAAACACAGATGGACAAACACTCGACTATATAAATGCATGAACAATTTTATACACGTTCACCTATTTTTCTACTCAAACAAATGGGTTGGTTTATTGTTTCTATGCTTGTCTACATGAACAAAAATGTTACGACACATGCCAACAACACTACAGCCCAAAATACATAGTTTGTCTGCAATGTTGTGGGATTCGGTCCCACTGATGTTTGTTTCCCGTCGGCCCGTTATGCGGTGACGCTTCACATTCCACACAGCGACTGAGGACTTCAGAGCCCTTGTCTCAACCGGGCAAAATCGTTATTTTATCGAAGGTAAGCTTCCCTCGTATGAAATATTTGTTTACCTTTGAGTGTATGCATGTTTTCTTAGTGGTTCTCGTTTCCAGAATTTGCTCAGGCGCCATCATTAAATGATTCCCGCTTTAGATAATTGATGAGGTGAGAAGTTGTAGCTTTTTTTAGAAAAGGCGCAAGTTATTCATGAAAAAAAAAAACGTGACCACTTTTGTTTGTTAGTTTACAGACATATTAGACTCAAACACGAGTCTAAAAATATACTCAAACAAATATTTTTGGGGATAAATCAGTTCTCGTCCTTAGCTTGCTTGCTTGCCTCAGCAGACATGTCCCCTTTAGTGTTGGGTCGTTCTTGAACGATTCGTTCATTTTGAACGAATCTTTAATGTGACTCGGGAAGAACGAGTCGTCTCGGGGAGTGATTCGTTCAGTCGCGCATGCGCAACATCCTATAGGTTCTGTACTGAGTTTAGTCAAGTAGTTCACCTGGTTCGAGTCTTCGGGTTTTTCCGAGTCGTTCGTTCATCACGTGACAGACCCATAAGCTTAACCAATGCAGTCTGAGCCGGAAAGAGAATTGATTAGTTCATCTCTCGAGTCTTCGGGTTTTAGTCGTTCATTCATCACGTGACAGCCCCATAAGCCCAAACCCGAAGGCTTGTCAGATAAGAGCTGAGGCGAGCTAATCATAGACTGAAGATCCAGGTAAACAATGAATTAATCTTTTCTGTTTCTTATAGCAGTTTTGTATTGTTTGTAGTGTGATCAACGTTTGCGTAAGTAGTAGATGTGTTAGGGAAGTAACACGTAACATTTTAATAATATTTTGCTAAAATGAACGAAATGACTCTAAAAAAGATTCGTTAATTTTGCTGAACGAGACTCAAAGGTCAGAGTCGGTAAAATGATCCGAACTTCCCATCACTAGTCCCTTTAAACGAGAGAAATGCCCCTGTTGTGCCGAAATCGGTGACCTAGCGAAAACTGACCAGGGGTCGCTGTTCAGCAAATGTTCTTGCGGGAGCGCGCACGTTAGATCAGACGCTGAAGCCGAATGATCAGCGTCAGAGGAGACGAGCGGTGCTGTAAAATAGGGATGGGCGATACCACTTATTTTGTTTTCGATACGATACCGATATTTTTCAAGGCAGTATCGTCGATACCGATTCGATACTTCTGAACTAAACTTATAAATGATGAAATGTATTAAATTACTAAAATGGGTGATGATAAGCACTTAACTTTGTTTAAAACGCATTTTAACATTCTATACGCCTTAATTGTAACTTATTAGGTTATATTTTTGTTTACACATGGTTCAAATATGTTTTTTGTTTACACATGATTCAAATCTATAAATACAGTTGAACTATGGTCACTTTAGTAAAACCATGGTTCATTTTCATAAGGGACTGCCAGTGACCGGCTGTTACATGCATAAAATGCGAAATTTTTATTCTGACAGTATATGATTTATATTAACATTACAGAATAGAACATGATCAATATTATTAGCTAACAAAGGTTATTCGTCCAATTCAATGCATATTGTACAAATTTTTGTTGTTGTTAAATTAACAAAATCACTGATAAATAAAACACACCTTAGTATCGATATTTTTTGTTTGAGTATCGATACTTTCGATTCTCGTGTCAGTATCGATACGCCCATCCCTACTGTAAAACATGTTTCATGTCTTAAGACTAAAGAAAACAGGACAAGCTAGATATTCCCCTTGTCCAAATACCCACACTTGCGGTCTTTGCACTTGACCATTTGACTACTTGTATGACGTATGTCCTGTATTTGGCCCAAGTGTTCAAGTGAGGATGAAGACCACAAGTGTGGGTATAACTTTTCATTACCGTATAGGACACACTTATAGTGTTGTAAAAATGTAAGTGTTTGCATAGCTTTATTCTAATTTTAAAAACTTTGCATTTTAAAATCAACTTCTAAATGTCTGTTCAGTAGTGCCTATAATAACAGATGACAGTTTAAGTTGCAGCGCTCCAGAGCGGTATTCAAGAAAGTGTGGGGCTGTGTTGGAAATCGCCCCCTATACCCTCATTCACTATTCCCTACATTAGGTCACTAATTCAGTTCACTAGAAGGAGTGAATGAAAATGAGTAGTGAATTCGGACACTGAGTGCACCGGAAGGAGTGCCACTTTTGCATAGTTTGTGCTTGCTGTTTATTAATCATTTGAAACTAGCAAACTAGCAGCTCCAGTAGTAAGATTAAAGGATTTATCGTGAACTCCATCACGGAAATTATGTATAAACCCTAATCAAACAATTTAATAATCAATTTACAATGAATTTATACCCGTGTTGTACATTATGCTGTACGCCATGGATGAATGCTTTGTAAAAATTAACGGATTGATTATTCAGCTGCGGGCGCCATCTTCTGGCAAGATGCGGGAATTCATTCGATGCGTGACTCTCACGGTGCATTATGGGCATTCTCTAGCCGTTGAGTGTGCACCAGTTGTACACTCGTTTTTGCAGTGCATTGTGGGATTGAATGAGTGCACTCGAGAACGTCCACTATGGTTTCGGACACCACTAAAAATGGCTGTTCCCTCAAATAGTGCCCTATTTAAGGGTATGGGGCGATTTCGGACACAGCCTGGATTTAGTGTGCGTTAAGGGCACTGCACTTTGGCGTTTTGAAGACCTGGGACGGTCTTGCGCACTTACTTCCTGTCGCGCGCACGTGCTCTCAAGTGGCCAAGACTGCAAGTGTGGGTATTTGGACAAGGCAATTGTCACCAGCATCTAAGTTCTTATATAGAAAAGAATTTAAACATTAATGCTGCTGTTGTCTGCTAATGTATTAGCCTACTTCTAAGAATGGTTTCCTTATGATGTTTTTAGTGCTTATGTAAAACATATTCCGATTATCTGATAAATGTAGGTCTTATCTTTATTCCTATAACTATTTACTGTAATTACCCAATAATGTTTGAGATCTACAGTTTGTTCCTTACAAATGCATATGATTGCAGTTGGCTATAGGGTCACTGAATCTGACAAGTAAAAATTAATAAAATGTTAGCTATCAAATTGTTACCTTTATAAACTTTAGTGACGATGTGACACTGCTTCGATTGTGCAAGTGACAATTCCTGTGTCAACTGTGTGTTTTGTCTCTCATAGTTGAGGTATACCTATGATGAAAATGACAGGCCTCTCTCATCTTTTTAAGTGGGAGAACTTGCACAATTGGTGGCTGACTAAATACTTTTTTGCCCCACTGTATAGACAGACGCGATGTGTTGATTTGAAGACATTTGCGTATTTTGAGAGAGCACGTGTGCGGGCAATCACTCTCGCTGTTTGTGAAATTACGTCTCGCACAATGTTTTCAAATTACTTTATAAGTTATCTAATGCAGAAATATGAAGGTGAGTACCTCGCCTTCAGCATTATAATTATTTCACCCGCGCTGGACAGAGACTGAGGCGGTGCCGCTGCATGTCGTGCCAAACCTCTCACGGCAGCGTCATCAGCTTGAGATCGGCCTTTTTAGAGACCGCCGATCAAACATCCCAACGTGATTATCGGCCGATAATGATTTTGATTATAAGTGATTATAAGCCGATCAATCGGAGCACCCCTAGCATTTTGTCTTTACATAAGAATGTATGTCATACAAGATTTTTTGCTTGTATGTGGTGACCACATGATGATCAGTAAACATTATGAAGTCATTTATTCACTTACATAAATGCTTGATTTTTCATTTTTTTTTACCCAAACTTAAAACAAAGGTGTTTTTTTGGGAGGGGGGGGGTAAACTGTGTGAACATCCATGAATTTACAAAAAAATTACTACTAATGATGAAATGTTTGGAATAATAGCTGGCATTTATAGTTGTACTTTATTAAAACCCTGAATGCATACATATTACACACGCATATTGTGCAGAACATAAATGATTTGTTTCAATGCTTCCAAGAATGTCATAAAGTTGCCAGACGGATAATATTAAATAACCCTAAAATCAGCACATCACAGAAACATTCAATCTCAAAATATAATCAACTAACATGAGATTCTGACTAAGAAGCAGAATTTAGTTGTAACAGATAATTGACATGTTCACTTCTACATCTTAATATGTCTCCTCTGTTGAAAAGTAACCTGAAATGGGATGCCTATTTTTCATCTTGACTCTGTATAGTTGCACAGTAGGAGGGCTGTGGGACGCTGGCAGTAAGTCTGCCTTTTCTGTGTAAGAAAATCCACCACCAGCCACGCACAATGGAAGTGGAGGATGCCTTATTGGCTAAGTTCAGGGTCCTGATTCAAGGGCTCATGATGACGACAACCTCAGAGATAGTCAAAATATTCAGCAAAGTGCTGCTGGAGACCAGAATGGAGATCACCCAGAGCTGGAGGGAGATCGACTTGTTGAAGCAGCAGTTGGAGGAAAGTGAGCAGCAAAAGACAGAGGCCATCAATAGGGCTCAGAGGAGTGACTTCAAAAGGGAAGATGACGAGATGGAAGTGTCATGTGTGAATTCTCAGTCTGACGTACAGAGCTCAAACACTGTCATGCCAGTGGCTGTGGTGAGTGGGCATGCTTTTTGTGGTCATTGTTTTCACTTGTTTTCAGTGCAGTGCAAATCAGCATAGAATCAATGTTATTATTTCTGTATTTTACCACAAAAATACATAAGTAATCTGTCTTTTTACTGACATTCTGTTGAAAATGTGTTGTATTTTGTAGAATGATTTGTGCTCTTTCGTTAATAATAAAACCATGTTTTGTGTGTTACAGGGGCCTGAAGAAAGAGCAGAGAATGTCTCAGAACCAGAGACAACACAGTCAAGCAAACCAGGTACTAATGTTTTTAGATAATTTTTCATGATAATGAACAGCAATAGACAAAAATCACAGGAAATTACCACTTAAAAAAAAAAAGTGGAAATATGAAGAACTGTAAAGTGATCTCTAAGTTACTAGAGTTTGTTCTCACTGACAATATGAATTATCAAGATGATACAAAATTAAAGGGGCGACACTTTATTGTTATTTTAATTATATTTTTTAAAGCATTTTGCAGTGGCATTCTCACGTAATCTGGGGTACACAACAGTTTTTTTATTGTCAATTAAAACTGTTTGAAATCATTTTTGTTCATTGAAATGAAGCTGAAATAAATATAAATATTAGATGAAAATCTTAAACTTAAAGAAAATAAAATATTTAAGTTGAAGTACTAAAATGACTAAATCTGAAATAAAGTTAAATTGAAATGTATAAAAGACATTAATAAAAATTATAATTATTATAATTACGATTATAAAAAATCGCAAACCACATAACTAAATTGTTAAAACTTAAAATGTAAACTGAAAATATAAAAATAAAAACTAATTCAAATTAAGAAAAACATACTACAATAGTATAGAAATAGTACTGTGTTTTGTCATCACTGCTATTGTGCTGGAGTAAAATACATTTGTTATGAGTTGTTTTCAATACTAATTAGCTTTTTTTTGTGTTGATTAATTAGGCCAAAAGGTTCAGAAAATCTGTCCAACTGCTGCTATTGCTGAAAACAGCCAGAAGACCAAGTGCCAAGAGCCAAAATGCACACAGCATGTGGTAAAACCGAAAATAGTTTGTCCCGCCAATGTGCCGCGAGTGAGAGGGCAGAAATCATCATCAAGCAAGACCATATCCGAGCCCGCATCTAAAATCGTTGCAAATGGACCATCTACAAGTGTGGACATAATCACAAATAACCCAAAATCAAAGGTGATGAAAAAAAGGAAATTAGTCAAAACGCAAAAGCACGCTAATGATGTTAGTGTTGCTCGTGCACTTCGAGACCGACAGCACCTCAGCATGCAGAGACACTGTCTGTGTTGTTCATCGGACGAGTGCGACCTTCAGTCTAGCCCCTCTAGAGCCCTGCACCAGGTCCCTAGTGTGTATATCTGTCGTAAATGTGAGAGAAGGTTTAAAACAGACCTCCTGTTCAAGAGTCACAATTGCCCAATGCCTCAGAATTGCAACGTGTGTGGGCAGATGTTCACTACCCTTCAGGGGCTCACCGCACACAGTCAGGAAGTTGAACCTCAGTTCAGCTGCAGTCAGTGTGAGCAAATGTTTGCCACTCAGTGTGCGTTAACTGTGCACAAACGGATCCACACCAACCTTATTGTTCCCAAGGATGTTAAGGCTAAGAGGTTCGAGGTTCGTCTCGAAAGAATCTCAGACTCCCAGCTGGAGGCTGCTTTGTCCTCAAAAAGCTCTCTCTTGCAAAATAACTCTTCAAAACAGGATCTTTTGAGTGAACCGCAGAATATGGCTGCAGCAGATACAAGTCCTGGATCTGCATGCAAACGCAGTGCAGAATCAATGGCCGTGAATGTACCTGAGACCAGCGAGACACAACTATCACCCCAAAGCGTAGTAGAAAGCCTGGACACAAGGCCAGAAACCCTGTCGGAGTCCAGTGTTGGACAGTCGAGTGTCAGGAAAGTATATGCTGTCATGTCAGCTGCTTCATGCCAAATTCAGATTAGTGAGGATGCAAATGGATCCGAGTCACCAGCTGTGCATGAATCTGAAAAAGTAACAGATAAAGGAAAACATGCCAGTGCAAGCGATGAGTCAGGACTCCGCTCTCCTTCAAGAAAGCGGAAGATGTCAGGTAATATTACAAAAATAGGTTCATTGGACAACATGCACTAAGTGACTGGATTCAATATTATTTTTATGTAGATCAGTTTGTTATATTTGAAAATTCTGAGTGATGTTTTTCCTCTAGATTGTTCTCATGATGCATACAATGGCGTGTTTCCTGTTGAAAATATTCTGAGATGGAGAAACAATAAGGTAGGAATGAAGTGCTTTTATGCATGATCCCATGAGCTTTTAAATCATAAAAAAATGCTTTACTCTGATATTCAATGAATTTTAAAAGGGAAGAAATGAAGTTCGGGTCAAGTGGATGCCTTGCACATTGTGGTAAGTCTTCCTCATTTGATATCATGCTACCAAAGAGAAAAACCAGAACCATTCAGCTTTAGTTCCTAGTTTCTTTTCCTAAATGTGTAATTCAGTGGTTTGTCACATAGTTGTGGTCGACCTATCAACCAGGCTGAGTTTTATCAGTTTGCCATATTCATGTCATATTCGCTGTGAAATTAGCACTTGTTTTTTTTCAATCTTGTTTTTTCATTCTTAATAATTTTCAAATTCTGACATAAATATATAAACATGTAAAATAAATGTAAACTTAATTTAATTTCATCAGTATGCATGTGATTTTAATCTCTTTAAGCATTGTATACATATCTGCTGTCTAAGATACCCTTCTCTTTAAGGTATCTGCATTGACCATCAAAAGATCTATATGGGTTGATATCTAATGTAAAAAAAAAAATGAACAAAGTACACATAGTGGGTTCAACGGAGTTGGAATGAACCCTGAATAATCTCTGCTCAAACATTTTATACTGCATTACATTCATCTTCCCACTCGACATGTAAATTAAGTTTTGTCTTAAATGTAAATTGAGGATAACAATAAAAGGGATAGCCTTCCGTTCCCACATATTTGGTATTCTTTCAGATGGGAACAATCAAAAGTTAAGGTGATAAGATTGTTTGAAATCCCTAGTAATTATATTCCTGTACCCTTTTGATCACAGGATGGTTCTTGATGCCCTACTGCCACTCCCACGCTATAAGTGATATAGTATACAGATACAGAGATCGGGAGGAATTATCTCTATGATAATTTAGGGAAGGAACACATTCTGCATCACATCTTGGCGTGAAAGCTGGGTCAGGGCAGACTATAATTCCTTACATTAGATAATAATGATATATTTATTTACTGGAGAGTATAAGTTTTAAAGCAAAATGGCAGATTTGTGTTTCCATTATAGTAACCCCTTTGATTTAGATGCATTCCAACAGTGGAAACCCCCGAAACTAAACTCAGTTCCTTATTTTTAAATATGTTTGGGTTTATGCCTTTCATGAAAAAAAAAAATCCCTGATGTTAAATTTACTATTCATATTTTATTTACTTTTCTCAGTGGGGCAAAGTTCCAGAACACATGGGAACCAGCAGAAAGCTTTCCAGGCTATTTGGATGACAAGAACGAAGAGCTGAAGAAAGACTAGAAGGACAAAAAAATATATGTTGACTATGCTTTTATGAAGTTCTCTGTTTACACTATAAGAATGTATGCTTTGCAATGCAGTTAATTTAATGAGTTTTTTTCTTGCCATGCCATTTTCCTGTAATATAATTGGTTGGTTCCTTACAGCTACCCTAGATAAATGCATTTAAGTTAAAAAGGTGGCATTACTTTTTAATACATAGTTTTAAATGCCTGAAATGGAAGTCTTTTTCCTATTATAGCTTGTCTTATTGTGATCAGCAAATAATTTTGTGTATAATTTTAGATATTTAGTATTTGAACGGCTGCCTTGTATTTACCTTACTGCAATGTTTGGTTGAGGGTTCAGTTACATGTTTACATGTTTTTGGTGAAACTTGTGTTGATGGATTTTTTTATATTCAGCAAGTTGATTTATGATATTAATTGGCAAGATGTTTGTGGGTTAATGACTTACACTACAAGCAACAGTTTATTACTAAAACACTATTAATGTTAATTGCCTCTTCCTGTTTTTAACTAGTATGTTATTATACCAAAGAATGCAGTTATGTTCAAGGCATATTTTAGGGAATTTATGGAAGTGTTATCTAACATGCCATCACACAGGTGAAGTATTCTGGTAAAAGGTGGTAATTGTACTGGAAAACCCCACAAACGTAAATAAACAGTTTCAAACCGGCACGACTTCTCATACAGTAAGTATCATGACACCTTTTCAACAGCATGAAAATCTGGCCAGTAATGTGTTTATGATCATTGCATATATTTTCTGAAATGTTTAGGATTCTCTTAATTGTTCATAACAAATACCATAGTCAGCCTTACTTAGTTTTAAACTAAAGTTACAACTTGGTAAATTTGTTAATATAGATTGTGAGAACTTTTTTTTTGTCAATAAGTCCAAACCATATCTGAATATCGGACATTATTAGTATGATGAATGGAGTCTTATTTGATCATTTGATCTTTTATATCATTCTAACTCAAAATCAGTGCTTTAGTTTAATATGTGCATTGGGCAATATTATTAGTAACTGCACTTATTTGTGGAATACAACAATAAAAATATAATACTGCAGTGTTTGGACGAAGAGTGGAAAAGAATATTGTCAAATACAGGTAAATATGTAAGAGAAGTCCGAGGGCAATTTACACTACAATATCATACATGGGTTCTGTCTGACTATATTAATAGAATGGGTCTGACAAATAATATTTGTTGGAAATGGTCAAAAGGACAGGTACTTTTATTCACTGTATCTGGGAGTGTCCACTTATACAGCCTTTATGGCACCAAGTTTTAAATATTTTGAGCAAACGGCTTGGGAAAACAATACCATTATCATTAAAACTGTGTCTATTGGGAGACAGGGAGCAGATGCCAAATATTTCAAATGGGAGAGTTCGCAGTGATCATGGTGGGGGTCTCTGTGATGGCTAGAGACAGTTTGAAACACTGGAAAACTCCAAAAAACCCAGAGTTAAAAAAATTAACATGCCATTTTTTTGTGGTCTGTGACATTGTTACAATATTCATATTAATAATAAACACCTAAGAATCATAAACAGGAAAAGAGAACTTAAAAAAAAAAATTTGACACGTTTTCCCCCAGTGTGGTTGTGACATGCTATCTCTTGAGTCTCCACAAACTGATGCTGAAATGTCAAAAGACAATCTTGAACTTAAATCTTTCTGTCTGACCAATGTGAAGGGGAAATGTTATTTAATACTCTAAAAATGTTTTCCACTGTTATCCAAAGTCTTTATCAAGGGACTGTACCAATTTTCAAACCAAAGATGCATGTAGTTTGTGGCCTTCACACCTATAATGTTTTTATGTGTGTGTTGTGACATGCTATCTCTTGAGTCTCCACAAACTGATGCTGAAATGTCAAAAGACAATCTTGAACTTAAATCTTTCTGTCTGACCAATGTGAAGGGGAAATGTTATTTAATACTCTTTAAAAATGTTTTCCACTGTTATCCAAAGTCTTTATCAAGGGAGTGTACCAATTTTCAAACCAAAGATGCATGTAGTTTGTGGCCTTCACACCTATAATGTTTTTATGTGTGTGTAGTAAACCTACTTCCTTTGGCAAACAACTTCCTGCTGCAAAAGGGAGCATTGTCATGACACTGATCTCAGAACAATCTTTGGTATCTTAATTGTCACCTTCAGTGACAAAAAATCGGATCCCAGTACAGCAACCAGCAGTGAACCTTTTGATAGGCTATAGAGAAGAAAAACAAAGAACAATCTCATTTCACCTGAATCATAAGTGAGAAACTAACACGAAAGAGGTATATATGACTGCTTTCTGCCTTACAAAAATCTACATTTCTCATTTCTTCATCTCATTTCTTTATTTTTTTTAGTTCCTAAATGGCCTTTATTGGCTAAGCATATTTTAGTGGGGAATTACTGTAACTGTTTGTATTTCACAGGGTACCAATAACAGCACTGACGGAAACTTTAAAAACCCACGCAAACTGGGAGTGAGCAGAAAGCGTGGTTTTACTTCCTTTGACTGGAAATCTTGCCGTTCTTCAGAAATCAAGCAAACATTGGACTATGACTACACATCCACAATGGTTTTATCGTGTTTAATCGCTCTAACAGGTAAGGTAACTTTAAAAAAAAGAAAATTTAAATCAAAAAGCTAAAACAAGGGCATGGCACTTCAATATATCTGTTGCAAAAATTATATTTTGTGCAATTCTAAACAACTGCAATCCTATTTCTAATGCATATTTAATAAAACATTAAAAGGCTTAATGTAGCTAAAAAGTAACAAACAGGATAAAACCACCTTGCTTGCTTTCTGTCAGTTCTCCTCAATTCGCCCCTGAAGCAGCTGGAAGCAGTAGAGTTGAAAGAAGTTAAACTTGGAGAGACAGTGGCACTGATGTGCAACCTGTCTTTCTACTCTGACATCCACTGGCTGAAGATGAGTGAGGGGCAGCTGATGGCTCTGATGGTCACAAGTCTGAAACATACTGGAGAACTGTCTGTTGTCTGGAATTATAATGAAACTCATTTTGAGGGTTTTATGGAGAAGCAGACGAATGGACTGAGAATTCTCCACATTTCCACCAGCGATCTCACCACATACTATTGTGCAACATTATATCAAAAACGCTTAAACTTTGACAAAGGAGTGCAACTATACAGTAAGTGTGAACATTTAATCTCTCAAGAAATAAACTCAGAAAAAAAAATATTTAAAAGAAACGTCCTCTCACTTTCAACTGCTTTTATTTCCTGCAAATTTCTTAATGTGTAAATATTTGTTTTAACATAAAAAGCTCAACAACTGAGACATAGGCCTAAACTCAACTTTCGCAGGCATTTGACTATCAGAAATGGAATAATGAAGTCTTGAAGAAAGGGGGGTCAGTATGAAAAGTAGCAGTGAGTGTTGGGTGTCCACCAGCTGTTTTAACAAAGCCAAAACAAATCCTGGCCAGGACGCGTCCTGGAAAAATGGCACGTATGGTCACCCTAGTATAGGTAGATTAGCGGCTCTTTCTATGGGCTGCTATACATAAACCGTCCGCCATATTGGAATTGTCAAAGCCGGTGTATGAACACTCGAGAGCAATGTCTGCAATCCTATACACAAGTATGAATATCTAAATCTGTAATAGACTTCAGCAGATGATTTTGCTAAACTAACACATTTGTAACATAGTTTAAAAACCTGTAATATTGAGTTAATGCATATTAAAAACACAAACCAACACATTCTTAACTGTGAAAGTTTATCCAGTTTTGTCAGGAATTTAAATTTGGCGTTTTTTTTTCAACCAGAGGCTGTGCAATGTTGTGGCATCTTGAAACTCATTGATTTTTTATTGTGAATGACGACACATTGACCGTTCCAAGATGGCGGACGCACCTAGAGCAGCTGAATGTGGTTTCCATTGATAGTTTTCAGTCACGAGACCGGCTCGAAGACCTGACAGGCAAAACATCCATAGAACTGCAGCACAAGCCTGTTGATTTTCTATCAGTTCCAATCCAAAAATACTTAGATCATCTCTTAAAAGAACAAAACAAAGATATGTGAACAAAATGCACATTTTGGCCATTAGCAATCCATATAAATCACCCACCGCAGTATTTCAATCATTAAAAACATGTGAAAACACTTAAAGTGCCTTTAAAACTGTGATATTAAAAGATTCAGTACACACCTTATTGATGATGCGTGCTTTATGCAGGCAAGCATATGAGCCCGGAATATGAACGCAATGCACTAAATGGTTAAGCGTCTTCTTTATAATGGCTTTCTATGGGAAAACATTTAATATTAAACTTTGCGCATTGCGTTTATATTCTGGGTGCATCTGCTTGCCTGTACAAAGTATGCATCAATAAGGTGTGTACTTAGTTTTTACCTTTAAATATCACCGTCTTACTACATTACTTCTTAATGCAAACCTCGTCAGTGGAGGAAAGCCTTGTTTTGCCCTCCATGTGGGCGTTCCTGTAAGGGTGTGACGTCACGTGAAAACTATCAATAGATATGTATAGTACTGTAGATGCCCCATTCGACTGCGCCAAGCAAGCACATAGATGCGACATCAATCACCATAATAATCAATGAACATATGAAGATGCCACAATCCTGCACAGCCAATGGTTGTAAAAAAAACGCCGGGATTTAAATTCCCGAAGAAACTGGATAACCTTTCACAGGTGAGAATGTGTTGGTTTGTGTTTTTAAATGTATTAACTCAATATTACAAGTTTTGAAACATTGGTAACTTTTAATGTTGTGTTAGCTAACGTGCTCATCTTGTTGTATGGTGTTAGTTAGGTCTACACAACAACACATTGAGCTCTTCTGGCAACAGTACTCGAGGGTTCGCACTTCGCAGACCATCGGCTGTTATGGTGAATGGCGTCAACTTAAGTTGACCCTTCGAATGGTGGATGGCTTGTGTATAGTGGTCCATAGAAACAGTCACTAATGAGTTCTCTTTCATCATCTCGTGTTCGAGATCAACCTATGGGAAGGGCATCCGTGCCTGACCTCTGCAGAAGCATCCAATTGCACCAAGTCTGTCTTAACAGACAGGAGCACATGCCCAATGGCAGGTAAGGGGCCGCCCCTTAACCGAGGGCATATAGCCCCTGCATGCGCTACCTTTCCTCAGTTGACATTCGCTTCTCGCGACCTCTGGAATTTACTCACAGCTCGTTGGTTTTGACATCACTTAACTGTCTAAAGGAGGACACATCTCTGGATCAGCCTCCGCCAGGCATGCTTGTCAATTTACCAGGTCAGCTGTTTTTACTCTGCATGCCGCCCACGCTCGCACTAATTACTAGGCTGCCCGCCTCTTACCTGTCCTTTTCCACTGTCCGTTGTTATTGGCTCTTTCCAAACCGAGTCCGGCTACTAACGTTACCGTGGACAACCTGTTGCGAGCCTGCCCGGCTTTTTTTCTTGCCAGGTTACCGCCCTCTGGCTTACACGGCCTCGCTGTGAGAGTACTGGGCAACCGGGGAGTTGACCATATCTCCCATAGGTGGATCTTAAACACGAGATGATGAAAGAGAAAAATAGGTTATTGTTCATAACCCCGGTTCTCTGAAACATCGAGTGGAGAGATCCACCAAGTTTGCCCCCCTTGCTGCATGAGAAGCGAATATGCTCACTGAGGAAAGGTAGCGCGTGCAGGCGCTATATGCGCTCAGTTAAGGTGTCAAGCCAGACTTGGTGCAATTGGATGCTTCTGCAGAGGTCAGGCGCGGATGCCCTTCCCATAGGTGGATCTCTCCACTCAATATTTCTGAGAACCGGGGTTACAAACAGTAACCTTTTGTTTTGTTTCCCTTTTCAAAGAGATAAGAGCTGCACTTGCATGCCCTAGAGGCATTTCAAAGATGGCTGCAGAGTGAAATGACTTAGGCCCTGTCCACATGAACACAGGTATTTTCAAAACCGCAGCTTTTTCTATGCAATTTGGCCGTTTGTCCACCCACAAACGCAGTATCAGGTCACTGAAACTGACCCTTTTTGAAAACTCCTGACAGGGTGAAGATTTTCAGAAACTCTGATTGCAGTGTTGTGTATCCGGTGAAACTGTAGATTTTGGTTTGTGACGTCGGAGTGCACGCTGTTATCTCCTTTGTTTGAGGTCAGGTTGTGCGCCACCATCTCCTTTGTTGACATGAGGCGAGTCTGTGATTGGCCAACATGACTTTACGGTTAGGGTTATATCGCCACGTGTTGGTTTTGCATACTCTTAGCAGCGCTTCATGACGTGTTTTTGCGTTTTCATGTGGACAAGATTTATTTATTTTTATTAAATGGAGGAAAAACCCATAAAAGTTTATAAAAAATACCTGTGCATGTGTGGACTAGGCCTTAAAGGGAGTTTGTTACTACTCGGCAGAATACCCTATCATATTGTTTGTTGATTATCTTTTTTATCTAGTTATAGCCTAACTGTGATCTTAATTTCCTGTTGCCAATAAATCGTAAGCCTTAAGGACTATCCCACAGGTTCATGTGCAATAATGGATTATGGTTCATTGAAATAATTAAAAAGTAATATTGTTTAAACCCTTGCCAATAAAGATCTGTAAAGCTTATTTGAATTGGATTTCAAAAGTATCTTTAAATTCCAATAATATTTGGATTACAAAATTATCTTTATAATACAGTATCCTGAAAAGTTTTTTTTTTTTTTTTGCTGAGTTTATATGGGCATTATTATTAGAAGTGTGATTTTTCTGCTCATCTTTTTTTGTGGTCCTTTCAGCAAACCAAAGTAAAAACAAGCCCTTTGATCAAGTACAAGGTAAGAGCGAAAAATGCTATAAAACTAAAAAACACAATAGACAATATTTTATATATGTAAAATATAATTTTTTCATATGATTTAAGTAAAAATAGAAAAATACTGACTGAACTTTCCTTAAAAAAAAAACAGGTGCTGATGGTCTTTCTCTTCATTACCAAGTATTCGTAACAGTGCTGTGTTTTGGCCTGCTGGGAATGTTAGTAACTGTTTTAGTGGTGCATATGAAGACCAGGAAAAAAAAACGCACCTCCACCAGTGAAGAATAAGAGAGGATCATGGATAAGAGAGGATCATTGTTGTTGTTGTTCAAATAAATAAATAAGAACCCTTGAAACTCCAAATTTGACAGCTATAACAGACTGGTTTTGGCCTTTCTTTGGATAGGAGAAAAGGGAATGAGAATGGGAATAGCCTATTTATATTTAAGAAATATAGGTTATATTAAATATGCACTTTTATTTGAGCAAGTTTAACATTTGAATTGTTAAATGATTAAGTGTTTATGTATGTTTATTTTTTTATTTTATGATTTGTTTTGGCAATAAAAATCTACTGGTCTACTTACGGTTTTGTTTGTCCTTCATGAAAAACTGCTAGAAACTATAACTATTGTTCTTATATAGTTCTGTAGTTCCGTAAAAGCAACTGGCATGCAATAATAATTTAGCAACTGGCATGCAATAATAAATTAGCTACACTCGTGGGGAGCTGCAAAGACTCCCGCCGAGGGGTCAAATATGAAGGCTCCACAGCTCTGGCCGGGGATGCCAAATCATGCCCCTCACTTGCGAGAGGAGTTCCTTCCACAGTTGTATCAGCCAGGGAGCTGCCGATAGCAGCTGAATCAACTCGGGGAACCACGTCTGATTCCTCTAGAGTGGGGCCAGGAGGACCGAACATCTGACTTCCCTGACCCGTCTGATGACCTGAGGAAGCAGGGCAACCGGGGGGGGGGGGAGGTGTACAGGTGAGTGCCGGGCCAATAGTGGACCAAACCCAATCTACTGGGCTACTTACAATTTTGCTTGTCCTTCATGAAAAAATGTGGTCTAGAAACTATAACTATTGTTCTTATATAGTTCTGTAGTTCCGTAAAAGCAACGGGCGTGCAATAATAATTTATTAAAAAAAGCAATCTCACTTTTTTTTAATATATATTTTGAAATTAAGAGTATACAGTTTACTTTATGGTGAACTAGTCCTTTGATATAGTTTTGAGTGTTTTTGTAGGCTTCTAGATGATGGTGTGAAAAGAGTTTTTTTTTTACATAGACTGTAAAAAAGATGGACGACGCGTCTCCACTTCCTTCCACTATAGAAAAGTGAAGCCAAAGCATCTCAGTATGGCCGCTGCCATCTTGAGTAAATGTCGTCATTTGGAGCCAGAGTCTGCGCAGTAGAGAATCGTTTGGAGCCAGAGTCTGCGCAGTAGTGTCGTGAGGTGGAGCCACGGTATCAAACTCCTGCCCAAACTCCCGCAGACCCAATCAACCATAATGACACGCCTTTTTGCGATAATCAACCATATCAACCATAACGATAATTACCCAATCAACCATAACAACACGCCTTTTGAAACTTATCTTAACAATATAACAAACTTATCACAAAAATTAACAATTTGACATATATCAGCGTGATAACAACTACCTTACTTTACCAAAACTCTCAAATTTCATCTTTCGGAAAATTGTATTGGAAGTGTAATTTATTTTTTTTGTTTTGACTCAAGTCCCATTCATTTACATGGAGAGGGCAGGGTTTATGACCTGTACTGCAGCCAGCCATCAGGGGGGCGATCAAAGAGCCCGGAAGAAGTGGGAAGGATGAGGATGACAGGGCGAAGTACCAAGGAGGAAAATATAATATCAAGGTTAAGACTGGGTCACACAAGACTAAATAAGACATTTCATCTCATTGGAAAACATCCCACAGGTCTGTGTGAGTATTGTCAGGAGGAGGAATCAGTAGAACATGTTCTATGTCACTGCCAAAAATATATTATAGAAAGAGAAATATTCAGAAGGACCCCACAGGAGATACTAGATGCAAAGCAAATACTCGGTCAAACTGGAAATTATAATTCTTTAATTGTATTCTTGAGGGAAACTGGGTTAATAAATAGAATATAAAGTATAATTGTTATTTTATTATTAATAAGGTTTTTTTCTTTTTTAATTTTAGTGTTTTTATAAAAATTATTATTATTATTATTTTTAGTCACTCTGGTCCACACTCCAGTATAGTAGGTGGCGGTAATGCACCTTAACGTTGGATGCCACCCGCCATAAAACAAGAAGAAGAAGATGAAAGAGCCCGGAGCTTCACGACGTGGTGAGGCACACCTGTTTCAGAGCAGTTAGACACTTGTCAACTTTCTTCCGTGTCTTTAAGATTTCTTTTATCGTCGACTTCTACCTGAGATTCAGTGAACTGTTAAAGTTGTTTGGATGTGTTAATTCGGTTCGCACGCATTTGAACTCATCTTACATGTGTTCAAATGTGTCGATAGAAAGAATAACGCGAGGAAGAGCTTGCAACGGGACAGGTGAGTAAACGCTATTTTTTATTTTTATTTAATTTTTTAAGAGTAAAGACTATATTTCTTGTCAGGGAGTGTGTTATTATGTGAAATATACAGTACACAACGGCTGAAATTCTAACTTTTTTTATTTTTTTTATACTGTTTGAAATCATCTGTGTAAGGCTCAGGACTATAAGATGTTTCGTCCAATAATTGCATTAGGTTGCAAAGATTCTTTGAAAATTTTTTATTTTTTTAGTTCTGCTGAGTAGATGACTCAGAAACTGCTTACCCAACCTTTAAACAACTTCATACAACCATCCTAGAAACTGTGTGCAGCTTTAAAGTATTAAATATAATAAAAGCAAAGCTAAATTAAATAAATAATAAATAAATAATATTCCTCTTTTTGAATGCTGTACTCCCAAAAACATCAGAACAATACTGGAGTGTGGAAGAGACAGAATAGCATTGATATTACAAGACATTATACACAATTGTCTACATTTCATATCCTCTTACTCTTAAATCCTCCAGTTCAAGAGGCCACTGGACAACTATGAAGCTACTTCACCCATCAAAGAGCCTCCTTTATATGCTCCTAACCTTTGGTAACGTGCAGATTTCTTTTTTTGTGTGTGTGAATTTATATATTGTGATGATTTTTCTTCATATTTCTTCATGAAAAAGCACTTTCAGAAAGGTAGATATGACACTTAAGTTAATTATAAAAATTAGCCAACTACGCTGAAGGTATTTAAGGGGCCAGTATCTTTTTAATACATCATTATCCTATTAGGTAAATAGTTTCCAATCTGAACAGTATTTATCTTGGTCAAAAACAAGGATCTAAACTAAATCTTATTAGTTAATACTAGTATGCTAGAATGCTAATTTGTTTTACAATCAAATATGTTCTTCTGAAATCCTTTTTACTCTCTCTTTCCTGCTAGGACCCTTTCTAGGTGGGATGTTGATCCCTGTTGCAGTGAACATTGGGGATACTGCGATTTTCACTTGTAATGAGACATGTAATGGACATCTCTTATGGACTTTCCACACTAACAATGAAAATCTGGAAGTTTTAAAATGTATCCAAGAGATTTGCACCAAAGGAGACCACTTTAAGAACAGAGTGAGCCTTAAGCCTGGAAACATGTCTCTAGGCCTGTATCCTGTTCTGTACAATGATGAAGGCTGGTACATGGTCAAATGTGATTCAGTGTTTCGCTGTGAATTCCACTTAGAAGCTCTTGGTAAGTTCTTATTTTTTAGTTAGTGATGACACATGATTATTTAATGGTAATGTTTATCACCCTAAATAAGGTGCTTACCACTGTTAGATGTGATCTAATGCTTTGTATTGTTTCCTTTCATTGTTTAGTACCAACTACTGTGATCACCTCAGTCAGAAGCAACGTCACACTACCCTGCTACGCACGCACAGAGAAACGAATTACTGATGATGCTGTGAACATCCTGTGGAAAAAAGATGGCCAAACGGTGTTACAAGTTCAAAAAGGAATTACAACATATGGCTCAGGTTTTACAGGCAGGGCATCAATTTCACTTCACCATTATAAGCACGGAGATCTTTCCCTTAACATGCTCAGGGTCACCACATCAGATAAGGGATTGTACCAGTGCTATCACAGAACTACAGAAGAACTGGGTTATCCTGGTGCTGTCACTCTCAATGTTACAGGTTGTTAAATTATTACATTTTTTACACTTTCTTTTTTCTCCTGTAATAGAAAAAAACAAAGTTTAACTAAAACTGTGAAATTCTTTCTTCAGCTGATCAAAAGTTCTATACAAAAAAGTTTGGTGGAAATCTCACCCTGGACCTGTTTGGCTCTGACCGTGTAAAGGTAACTTTCACCGGTCACATGAACACTTGACAATAACTGTGGAACACACATTATTTATTCACTCATACACTTATTTATCTAACACACACACTCAGTCTACACCTCAAATTTGCACATAATATTCAGTACCTGTACATACAAAAACTGTCTATTGTAATATACCTGCACATACAACTGTCAATTTATATATTTTTATTCCTTATTTACTTGTTTTATTTTTTATTATCTGTGTTTTTTGTTCTGTCACTGTCATTCTGTTACACTGTGGAAGCTTCTGTCACGAAAACAAATTCCTCGTATGTGTAAACATACCTTGCAATAAAGCTCATTCTGATATTTTTACTTCAGGAAGGCCTTATATCTGCAGTCTTGGTAAAATTTAGGAAAACTTTTTTTGGCAAAAAAGATCAATTTGTAGTGATGTATGAAGCACAGCTCACACAGAAGTCACTTTCAATTCCAAATACCCACAGAATGTAAAATACTTTAATTACAAATCACATAATGGCCTTTTTCCTGTTATGTTTACATTGCTGACAGGCATCTTAAATCATTAAGGTTGGGCTGCACAACTATTATTCTTGCCATAATGATAATGTCAGATGTGGCCACACTGTGCTGCTTCTTAAGCATTATTCTGCACTTTTTCTTGATAAACTTTATTCTGCACTTTTTCTATTTTTCTATTCTATCTATAAGCTTGAGATGCTAAACTTGTGATATAAGCTTTTTTTTATTGATTTGGTTTTATTTTTAAGTAAAAAAAAAAAAAAAGTAGGTACACACAATGTTTACAGTGTGTCTGTGTATTCTATTAACTTTTATGATCAAAAGTCATATGAATGTGTGACTATGACTAATCTATTAACAAATTCAAATCATGAAATTTACAGAAGATGAAAAGGTATATTACTGTTATGTCTTAATAGCTACTGTAATCGCTTTAGTAACTGTTTTAGTTATTTTACCAGACTCTGTTGAATATCAGAATATAATTATATTATACATTAATATTTATATCATACTATACTATTAATTTAAAGAGTTTTCCTTTTATATATGTGTATGTATATATATATTGAGTTATTTACTGTGACTTTTCAGTGTTCCTAATAATTTTTGTTCTTTATAAAATTTGAAAAAATATAATAAAATCAGATATTGTACAGTTGAGATCTCTTAATTCCAATAACCAACAAATGTACACAAATTACAAAAAAACAAGAATCCAGTATAAGCGTAATGTCATGACTAAAAATATTATGTTATCTCTGTTTTCATGTGTCTGTGCAGGCTACAGTGAACACGATTATGTCATGTGACTAACCTTGTGCGTACATCTGTGTATGTTTAGTCACTCTGAGAACTCCAGAATCCTTAAAAACTCAAATGACCACAAATTCTGCCAAAAGATATCCTTGAGGTAAACTTGAAAATATCTGAATACAATAGCATAACCATAATGTAACTAATGCTTCCTAATACCCTGCTAATAAACACAACTGGATTAGTGTTGAACTCTAATTGGCGGAACTAGATCGTTCAGCTCAATAAAAGGCTTTAGAGATCTATAGGCCTACTGTACTGTACATGGCAAAGCAAATCACTACTGGAGTGATATACAGGTGAGTGCCAGAAACATTGTTGCTATTGAGACATAAAAAAACAAATCTAATGAAAGAATGCCATGTAAAAATTGTTTTATATTTATGCTGCATGATTGTGTTAGTATCAAATTCAGACTTGATTTTGAATAGACTTGAATTCAAAATATGCTGTTTTTCAGATTGCAAGATGAAGAACTTTGTTATGACCATTATGGTTCTGACCGTAATTGCTGATGTGAGTAGGCCTACATTGATTTCATTTACTTTATATATTTTGGTCAATCATGATTCATCAGTTCATTTATACATGCTTTGATCACTTTGATACTTCTCTTTTAGATTACCTCAGCTAAGGTAAGACCATTCATATAATCAGAATGATCAGAGTTATGTTTGTTAACACTGGCACTTTAAGCTACACTTATTTTTAAAAGTTGCATCTGATTAACGGTCTGAATGGTGAACTGGTTACTGGGGTAAATGGAGTTAACCCTCTGTTGGTGGGTGGTCTGAACACACATGTGCTTTCTGGTGGTCCTGCTGTTATAGGACAGCTTCCATTAGCATAGGTAGGAACTGAAGATTTACCACTTAAAGGAAAAATACCCCCAAATATGAAAATATGCTGAAAATCTACTCAGACCATCCAAGATGTTAATGAGTTTGTTTCTTTTTTAATCTGAACTGATTTGGAGAAATTTAACATTACATCACTTGCTCTGCAGTGAATGGGTGCCGTCAGAATAAGAGTCCAAACAGCTGATAAAAACATCACAATAATCCACAAGTGATCCACACGACTCCAGTCCATCAATTAATGCCTTGTAAAGTGAAAAGCTACGTGTTTATAAGAAACAAATCTGTTGTTAAAGCATTTTAACTTTAAACCATCACTTCTGGCCAAAATACAAGTCCATAATGATCCATAATAACACTTCCTCCAGTGAAAATGTCCATCCCCTGTTGTGGTCTCACATCAAAATCCACCGGCATATTTGTTTTGATCTATTCTGGATTTTCTTTTTTACTTGTAAATGATGTTTGATCTGTGCATATTTCTCTCCGAAATTAAGATGAGTTTACTTTTTCAATGGAGAAAGCAGTTTTATGGATAGTGAATTTTAGCTATGGTTTGAAGTTAAAAACATCTTGATGGATTTATTTATTACAAACACAGCTTTTCACTTCACAAGGCATTAATTGATGGACTGGAGTCATGTGGATTGCTTGTGGATTATTGTGATGTTTTTGTCAGCGGTTTGAGCCCTCATTCTGATGGCACCCATTCACTTCAGATGATCCATTGGTGAGCAAGTGAAGTAATGTTATTTTCTCCAAATCTGTTCCAATGAAGTGACAAATTTTTTACAGTACATCTTGGATGGCCTGAGGGTGAGTAAATGTTCAGCAAATAAAATTTTTTTTGGGCGAACTATTGTCCCACTAAAAGATAATGTTTTACACAGACAATAACTAACTCTTTTGTGTCTGACAGATTCTGCCTGCTGCTTTTCTTCCTCCATTTGTGCTTCAGCACCCACCTGTGGCCGCAGTTCCCTATGGTCCCCCCAACATTGGACCTCAGCTGGCTTACCCTTTCGCTTCACCTAATGGGGTATTTGTTCATTTTTATTCACAATGTTTGTGCAACAATATGCATTTAATTCTGTCTAAATTAATGTAATTTGGGGTGTTGTTGTGGACTGTTCTGATCAACAGGGTTTGCCGTATTACATTGGTGGGCCCCAGAATCAACCAGCCATAATGCCTCCGCAGCAACAAGTTGCGGTACACAACAAGTTGCTAGTACTATTCTAATACTATAAATTATATGTATGGACTATAAATATATTCATGAAACTCATTCCTAATACTTTTAGGCTGGACAAGGCCCTACTGGATATAATCAAGCTGTACCATCATTTGATGAAGCAATTACTGGCAAAACCATTGTTTTTTTTAGGCCAATTTTGGCCACTCATTCAAAATCTCCTCTGTAAAAACCTTGAACTTTATCCTATTCACTTGTAGTATGCTTAAAACTACTAATAACTAACTGGTTATTATCTATTCAGTTCATATGATTTCTGATATGTAAGTTTGTAGAAAAAAAGTGTACTGTAATTTAATTGTTTAGCAATATGCAGTGTTTGTGCAATGTTCAAAAGGCAGAATTCCTGCCTTCCACATAACTGTGTTAAATCATTCTTCTCAGCGCTCCTTCCTCAGAAGGACCACTGCAAGACCACCTGTCTCAATCACCCAGGTTTGTAGAAAAAATATTTAGTATTTTTCAAAAATCTATTGAGTGGTATCCTGCATTATAACATGATTTATTATCTATACAGATGCCAGCCCAGGTCAACCCTGCTGTGTCTGGAAATCCTGTTGGGTAAATTTGAGTGAAGTATGTGTTGAAATAGCTTAGGTGTGTTTTATACATGTGTTGACACAGTTACACATTGTTTTTATTGTACAATAATTAATACTCTTGCTGAGGAGCTGATTGAGTTTGTTTCTTTTCACAGATACTTTCAAGAGATCGTCTCTGCAATAAATGTAATTTTTTATTTAGAATATTACAGAATTATTGATAAGTATAATGTACTTTAGTAAAATGTCTAATGCTTTGCTTTATACTGACAAATTGTCAACAGTTGTAACAAATGTTTATACTGAATATTGAATAAAAGTCGCTAGTTTGTTGCAACAGTGAATATTTTCACCCTCTTAATCATATGATAATATTATGGCCACACTTGAAAGTTTGTTTATTGTGTTATATTGCCATCTATGGCAACAGTGTTCATGAAGTTACTGCGGAACATTTTTAAAAAGAAAGAAATAAAGAAACAATTCCACTGTAAGTATTTATTTTATCTTTTGAAATGTATTAATATAATAATACAATTAATACTATCATGATAATCATCATCATCCACATTATCACTGTTTTAAAAAGATCAATTTAATCTATTTGTTTTTCTATTCCCTGTCCCTAATTTGTCTCAGTACCTCACTCATCTCTCCATTAAGGCTACACTGTAAAAAAAATCTGTAGATCTTATGGTAAAAAAACGGCAGCTGTGGTTGCCGGAATTTTACCGTAAAAATTACAGTAGCAACATTTTAGGTTTTACGGTTTTAACTTAAATTGACTGTTAAATACCATAATTTCATTAACTGATATAATGTTAATATACCAACCTATTGAAGTAGCTTACTGAAATCTGTTTTGTACCTTTGTAATACACTGATAACCTCCAAATGCAGGTGGTGACGAGAAAGTCACATGATGAATCAAAGCCCATCACAAGCAGCTTTTAAATAATAACATATATAGAAGGTGCACAGTGTCATTCACACGAACACTAAACACCATCATCGTAACACACATGAAACTGAAGTAATGCAATAAACATT